GTGTCCGTTTTCTGCCACCTTGAACTTTTCCATACAACCGTATATCCAAAACATGCGGTCCTGAGTGCTTTGGGCTGTGGCGAGCATGCTGAACCAGCTAAATTCCGTTTGCTTCGACACCCAACATTTGCCTAGTCCGGTGCACGGGACGTCGTCGCCGTGAAGGCCGACTGGCACACACTTGCTGCGAAAATCGCTTCTGGTTTTGAGTGGGTGATCTACAACCCCAGGGTGATTGGCCACTGAATCCCAGAAAGCTGGAATCTCGGAGGCATCTGGCACCATGGACTTCATCCAGCCCTCGCCGTACTCATTGTACAAACTGGCGAAGGTCTCATGCGGGAGGAACATCGCCTGTGGTTGCTCGTTGAGCGGCGACTTGAAAGGCAAGTTCGCAACGGTGGGTGGAGGTAGTTTAGCACCTGGTTCCACCAACTTCATGAGATCTTCGTGGCACTTGGACGGGTATCGTCCACTAGAGCCGATGCCAGCGAGCTTGACCAAATCCTCTGGGATATCCTCCGGTCGAGCCGCCTTCTTGAAATCCTGCACAGTCAAGCTCGCTAGCTTTTGAACTTGCTGTGGTGAGTAAGATCCCCAAGCGAACTCGGACACCAAATGTTGAGCGAGTGCACTTGTACCAAATCCAGCGGCTTGTTCATCTTGTTCTCGTTTCCGTTTTCTCTGCTGTATTCCTCCAGCTCTCATGGTTCTTGACAAGCACACATATACGGTCGGGGTGAAACGAAAAAATCTCTCAATGTATAATCACAGGTGTGGGAACCCTTGCTGTAGATACCTTCGAGAGACCTTGAGAGCAACTATATAGGGTTTGAGGTTTAGGTGCCTTTAGAGCAAGTGTGTGGGTTGCATATATATCCATATAACTATACATACATATAAAAGTATTACCTTGAGAGCTTTTCTGGGTTCTGTAGAGCTTGTGGGGTTTGTCTACATAGGAAACCTTGAGAGGGACTGGGTTCTACGGAGTTTGAGATTTTTACCTATGTCTGTGTAAATACCTTCAAAAGACCTTGAGAGCAACTGTAGGGTTTGAGGCTTATAGGGACCGTGAGAGCAAGTGTGGATCGTATGTGTATGTATATATACACTTTTATATGTTACCTTGAGAGCATCTGGGTTCAATTTAGTGTTTGTCTACATGCATGAAATATTGAGAGGAACTGGATTCTAGGGAGTTTGAGGCTTTTTTGTCTATGTATGTGTAAATACCTTCACAAGACCTTGAGAGCAGCTGGGTCGTAGATCTACTTATATATTTAACTTGTTTCTCGAGAACATTGCTATTGCTCTACTTTACACTATTATATTTTATCATCACAATATATTGCAAATTGTTAAACTATATTCTCGCTTTATGTTATTTAACGAAATCTTCAAGGATCGAAGTCTCTTGGTCGGAGCCTTTGCATACGTGCCGGGAAGAAACATCTCCGATAAAGGTGTTGGTGGTAGGACGAATGACCTGGACAGGCAAGCGGTTGGGGCTGAAGCTTGCCCCATGGGGTGTATTCCCGCATCAATCGCACACCGGCCCACACCAATAGGAGACTAGTATGAAATCTCGGGCTGATACATTAAACAAATGAAACCTTGTGTGAGCCTTGTTTGAGATAGGAAAACCAACAACCCAGCGATGCAAAGGAATGTGTAATCCTGTACACCACCCCGAAACTCAATACAGTATCTTCTGGTGCTGAAACATGTAGCTTGAAACCTCGAGCTTTGTAGCGAAACTCCATACATACATAAGTGAAACATTCCATACATACAAAGTCTTCTCACACTGAATGGACCCTGAAACCTCGTGCTATGTGCTGAAACTCCATACATATACAAAGCCTTCTCACACTGAAACATGGACCCTGAAACCTCATGCTATGTGCTGAAACTCTATACATACAAAGTCTCTTCTCACACTGAAACATGGACGGCGAAATCTCATGCGATGTGCTGAAACTCCATACATACAGAGTCTTCTCACACTGAAACATGGACCCTGAAACCTCATGCTATGTGCTGAAACTCCATACATACAGAGTCTTCTCACACTGAAACATGGACCCTGAAACCTCATGCTATGTGCTGAAACTCCATACACATACAGAGTCTTCTCACACTGAAACATGGACCCTGAAACCTCATGCTATGTGCTGAAACTCCATACCTACGAAGTCTTCTCACACTGAAACATGGACGGTGAAACACCGAAACATGGACCCTGAAACCTCACATGCTATGTGCTGAAACTCCATACATACATAGTCGTCTGAGAAACATGGAGCCTGCAAACTGCTTTTCCTACCGAAAATGCATACCTGAAACATTGAGCCTGAAGTCTGCAGCTATATATGTGAGTTACACATGAATCAACAGCCACCCTCAAACTACATCCTGCTGCTGAGTCTTTGGTCTTTGGCACACATACAGATGATGCCTCAGTCGATTTGCCAAGCGAGCGAGCACAGGCGCTAAAGCCAGGCAGCATTCAAGTACCCTCCAGGTACATGCGACAAAAGAGTAAAACTGGCCCTCGAGTTGATGCCACCCTCTGGGTTCTCACAGTGTGTGTGTGTGCTCTCATAGCTAGAAACACAAGCAACAAAGCTCTGGGTATTCAGGATGTTCCATAAAAGGGGATATCAGGGCTGTAAGGGCTTATAAACAGACAGTGTAGACACAGTTTACACATAGCTACATGTTCATGTATGGCATGCACATGACACAGACACCAAAACGTGAGACCGTGTGGCACCCCTATACGGAGCAATGAGCCTACTTCTTGGTAGTCTTAGAAGCAGCTCTCACAAGACCTTTGGAAACCTCGATGAGCTCGGTCTGGGCTTGGGTTTGCTCTGTGATCTCCCGGATGAAGTTGTCTAACCCGGACCTCGTGACTTCCTGCTGGCAGGGCAAAAGGTTGAACTTCAACAGGTGCTCGATGGACAAAGCGGCGGATTGGGCTTTGGCATAGCTGCCTGTCAACTCCTTGACCCTGGCATCCCCCAATGCACCGGGGTTGTTCCTGGTGAGCTTGAGTGCATCCGTTGCCAAGCGATTCTGCGACTGCAAAGCGGCATTGAGCATCTTGATCGTGTCCTAGGACATAACCCCATCTTGAATCGGATCATCCTTGCAGCGATCCCACCCCCAGTTCATCTTCCGCATGATGTCAGCGATGACCTCTGCCTGATCATGCCTGCCCTTCTTCTGCCGCTGAATGCCGTTGGTCTCACTTCGGCCCACCTCCCTGCCCACAACCATCTCCTTGTGGCACCAAAACTTTCGACCCTCGCCATCCTTGGTCTCAAAGATGTCACCGTCCTCGTAGGCCTGATCCATGGCAGCTTGGTTGCCTTGGAAGTACTGCCAGAGAAACACTGACTTCGGCAACCCTTTCTCCTGCTCCTTGGTGAACTTCTTGTCGTAGATGTCCAAGGACTGTTGGAAGAGTGGATCTGCTGTGTTCAGGTCGAACCCGCCGTCGGATCGCTTCTTGAAGACCGTATTGATAACTGTGGTTTGGTGCTTTCTCTTGCTGGTGCCGGCCGGAACGGTGTTGTAGAGCTCGAGCAGGTGGTCAGGCAGCTGCTTTTTGTCGGCCATCTTGGCCCACTTTTCACCCTTACCCTTGTCACGTTTCTCCTCGCCCTTCTCGCCGTTGGTCAAGGCCAAGGTTGTAACCTTTTTAGGGTCCTTAGAGGAAGAGGAAGCCAAGGCTGCACTGGGCCGCTTCATCTTGGGTGCCATGGCTGTCAGGCTCTACGTAGGAAGCAGGCACAACTCAACTCGCGGTTTCGCCAAAGGACTTCCACGGCATGTGCATGTGACAACACAACATGACAACATGAAAGCCGTGCAAAGCAAGCACACAGCCAACACAGCCGTGCAGTGTGCTCTCAGGGTGCTCTCAAGGCCCTTGCTCTAGTACTAATACTACTATACTATACTACTACTATACTACTACTATACTACTATACTATACTATACTATACTACCACTACTACTACTACTACTACTACTACTACTACTACTACTACTACTACTGCTACTACTACTACTACTACTACTACGACTACTATACTACTATAATAGTACAATACTACTTCTTCTACGTTCGAGTATACCCAATACCCAGTACCCACGATACTTGTATTATACCTACTGTACCTACTATATAGTTGTTATCGGATACTCCCATAGGATCGAAACACTTTTTTCTCGCATATCCCTCGGAACTTGATGGATGTAGCTTTTGTTGCGGCTGCAGAGGGAGTGTCTAGGCTAGATCACGAGACAGTTGGGGATCGAAGCATTTCGCAGGATGTGATGACCGACAGCCCACAATGCTCTTCAGTTTCCGAATACCAGACAAACGAAGTACCGGATGTCGGGTGTCGATTGAAACCGACTAGACAATGATTTTGTTCTCCAGGACACCAATAACTCATAGGAATTTCTAGACTGTGGACCACTGAAGCATGTAAGTTTCGTAGAAAGCACCACACCATACCATCGAAGTTTGATCGAATTTTCGACGGAATTTCGACATGCTAGGTCGAAGTTTGATCGAAGTTTCGACGAAACTTCGACCCCCCAAGGTCGAAGTTTCGACACCTCCAAGTCGAAGTTTCGACACCCTACCGGTCGAAGTTTCGACACCCGAGGTCGAAGTTTGTAAGTTGTGATATTACAATTCACTGTAAGGGTAGCACTTTTAGCAAATTGGTGTCGAAGTTTCGGCTCGAAACTTCGACCTAGGGTGTCGAAACTTCGACCTGGGGGGTGTCGAAACTTCGACCTGGGGGGTGTCGAAACTTCGACCCGGGGGGGTCGAAGTTTCGACGAAACTTCGACCAAACTTCGACCGAGTCTGGTGGATCACTTGCATTTATTGAACTGATTTTCCGTTCCCTGCTGCTACACGGAAACGAAAAAATCAAACGAGCCGGTACCACAACAACAAAAAAATGTCCTTACTCTTTGCTCCCTTCTTTCTCTCTCATGGTTTCTGTCTCGCTCAAAGTCACTCTCAGAGTCGCTGCCGGGCAGCCGGTGGGAGAGGCGAAGAACCTGCACACAGGGACGGTAGGTTTAGAATTAAAGAACCGCACGAGCGGCTTTGTGTGTTGCAGGTTTGAAGTTCTAGGGTTTCGACAGATCTAAAGGTTTGAGATTTGTCTGTTTTGGTGTTGTAAGGTTCTAGGTTTTCGGCAGGTTTAGGGGTTTTGGCTTTGTAAGTTTCAGCCAATACAGATGGGGCTGTTTTCTAATGTTCTGGGTTTCGACAGGTTTGGGGTATAGTATTTCTTGTGATAGAGGGCTTTCTGTGTTTCGGGTTTAGATAAGGTTCTAGGGTTTCGACACAGGTTTAGGGATTTGGGATTTGTATAATTCAGCCAAAGTCGTCGGAGGCTGGGCTCATAGAAGCTTGTGGGGATTTGGATTTAAGCTTCGGGGCCGCTTTCGGTAAAGTTCGACCATTGCCTGGGATATTTTGTTGTTTGCATATATCGACCCGAAAACCTTAAAACCCTGTAACCCTAAAGCCACCAAACCCTAAAACCCAAACCCTAAAACCCTTAAACCCTAAAGCCCTAAACCCTATAACCCCTAAACCCTCAAACCGTCTATATCAAGCCCTGAACCCTAAAACCCTAAACCCTTAAACCCAAAAATCTTAAACCCATTAATCCCTAAACCCTAAAACCGTCGATATCAAGCCCTCTAAACCCACATTTTAAAACCCTAAACCCTGAAACCCTAAATCCCTAAACCCTTATAATCCTTAAACCCTAAAACCGTCTATATCAGCCGACCAACCCTGTAAATAGATGAACACACAAGCACACCTCGACCCTGGTAACAAACAGAAGCCCGTGAACCCGACAACACTCCACACCTTAAACCCTGCAACACCGTAAGACTCTGAAATCCGGACTGCGATTCCACATCCTGAGGCTTTGGGGTTTGGGCGCTTTTGGGTCATAATTGTGTGCATGTGCAATCTATCTCTAGGTGAAAATTATTTGTGTATGTAGATGCACATATATATATACATATGTGTGCATACAATTTCAACACATTGTGACTTTGAGGGGGACCAAGAGAGTCATAGAGAGGATTTAGGGTTTAGGATTGTAGGGTCTTAGAATTATGATCTTACATTTATAAGGCTTTGCAGGTGTGGTTTTAGGGTATACAAGGGGTTTCTTTATAAAGGTCTATACAGGTGGGGGCTTATAATTTGAGAGCAAAACAGCACAAACCCTTGTTTCTCACGATCGGTGGTGTCGCGACCGATCCTTCCTCCTCCTCCGCCTCGATGGCGATCGCCTCCTCCTCCTCCTCCCTCTACTCCTCCTCCGCCGTGATCTCGATCTCCGCCGCCGTGTCCGCGATCGCGATGAGCTCGTGGAGGAACAGCTGCTTGAACCTGTAACACCATCATCGCTCACAGCAGGACTCGTCACCGCATGCTCAGCAAAAAACCTCTGCAGCTCCTCATCTCCAATCTCCTCCTCATCATAGCCATCACCCTCCACCATCGGAGGGGCTTCCATTGAAGCAACTGCAGCAGTTGAGCCATCACCCTCCACCATCGGAGGGGCTTCCATTGAAACAGCTGCAGCTGTTGGCACCTCCACCGTCGGAGGATTTTCCATTGTACCAGCTGCTGTCACCTCCACCATCGGAGGGGTTCCCATTGGCATTGGAGCAGCTTGTACCTTCGCAGCCGGAAGCAAATGAGCAGGTGGAGGACACTTCGGAGGTCTCGGAACCAATGGTACTGCAGCAGGCGAAGCCTTGACTAATGGTACTGCAGCAGGCGAAGCCTTGACCGATGGTACTGCAGCAGGCGAAGCTTTGCTCGATGTACCAGCCGTTGCATTATTCCTTGGCCTGGCGACCTCAGCCTGCACCGTGCCAACACCAGGAATAAAAGCATTGTTCAGCTCCAATGCCATATATGCAGCATAATCGTCGTCCCAGACACCCACATAAGCATTGCAAAACCTTGCATCTTGCATACGACCGCTTCTCACCAGCTGTATGTTCTCAAAGACCCAGCCTCGACTTCGCAGCTGATAGCCAAGAATATTGGTCGTGCAAGTGTTGTCCACATACTTCAGAAAAACTCGCGACATGGTTGAATTATCGTGCACACCGTCGGCCTATAGCAAAGTTTAGGGCTAAAGGGTTTAGGTTTAGGTTGTGTGGTGTATAGTGTGTGGGTTAGATTAGAGATGCCTAGGCCGAAAAAGGACCCGTCCTAAAGTGTCCAGGCTTGCAGGTCTATGCCCAGAGAGTATGAGAGTCTCGATAAAACTACTTGTTGTATATGTTCACAGTATGTCACTATTATGGCATATAATCGGAGTATATGTGAGGTCTAATATGATCATTATATGGTATACTATATGCAGGGTGGGTATTTCTCCTGTGTTGTATGTGTATCCTGTCCGATCTAGATTCAACATATAGCTGTGTCCATGTGTATAGCCTGACATGAAAACACACTCTCTCAGCACTTCTGGGCCTCCTGCTGCGAAACTGCAAACATGAACCGTGAAAGCCCGAAATACCCACCAAAAGAGACTATCGGGGACATTGGTTTAATAGGGGGTTGCATTCGGTGCATGATTCGGGGGTTGTTATTTCCTGGAGGCCTTCGGTATGAAATAGGGGTAACATGACGATGTTCATCATGGGGTGGTATAATCGTGACTTCGACTGTTGTGGTGCCACTTTGGGATTTAAAGCTGAGTCGGGGGTTTGTTGTGATTGGTATAAACCCCAACCCCGAACCCTTAAGCCCGAAACCGTTTCTATATATATATATATATATATATATATATAGGGGTATAAACCCCAACCCCGAACCCTTAAGCCCGAAACCGTTTCTATATATATATATATATATATATACAGAAACCCACAACCCCCTCTCTCTCGCAGTCCAAACCCAAACCCTCAACCGTGTAATAAAAGGCTCCAGAACATCCTGGAAATTGGGATTTGGGGCTTGGCACTTGGGGTTTAAGGTCTAGGCGCTCATAGGGTTTAGGGTTAGGGGGTCCAGGGTTTTGGGGTTTTAAACTGCACAGAACGGATTGAATCTGATACAAGTATATAGCTTATATATATATATATAGGAAACAGAAGTGCAAATGCATATAGATAAATGATATATATATATAATATTTAAATAAAACATAATATGTATAGATACATTCATATATATATATATATATACATACACATAAGTATATAAGGGCTTGTATATGAGATTTGCTAGTCTAGCATCAAGCATCAACCCCAACACCACCATATGCTTCTAGACATCTCACTATCATCATCGCCACCCCCATGCTTAACCCGAAATCCTGGAATCCCAAGCCGGCCCAAAACCCAAGACCCTCATTTAATCCGGCCTCGAGTGGCCCACCACAGCCGACGATGCCGAAGTTGCACAGTCACACCTTTCTAGAGCAGGATGTGTGTGTGTGTGATGCTTGTGTGGTGTTGCTTTGAATTTCGCATTCCTCGAAGTCTGAATCTCTCAACCTACCGATGCTTTGCGACTCGATACACACAATGCTCTCATGGTCCACTCAACCTACCGCCGCTCGACAGAATGCTCTCATGGTCCACTCAAGGTTCACACAACATGCATGACAGCAAAGCTCACAGCATCACACAGCTCGCAACAGCCATTGATCACAAAGCTGCACTCTGATTTTGGGGTCGCCACCGAAGCAGCATACACACAGCTTCCACGAATCTGTCCACGTTGATCCTTCGCAGATGTATGGCAAAAAGCGCCCATCCTGCATGTCACATCTGATTCCGTGGAGGGACGAAAGCCCTCGCTTCTATAGCAAACAGGCCTCACACACATCTCCCATCTGATTCCGTGGAGAGACAAGCACTCTCGCTTCTATAAAAGCCACACAAGTGACCATTCCATGGGCTCAAAATCTGACTGTGCAAGCTACACAGTCTGCTCAGGAAATAAAGCGACACACGACTTCTTCTTATGCTTTTTTACTTAGAACTATTGTGTTTTCAAGTTCAAAACCCCATACAGAACTATGCAGCAGCATGCTCCACGGGCTTTGTGCACAACTGCATACGGTTCCTATCAAAGCAATCAGCACAAACGTACTATAGTCACTGCACTATAACACCTATCAACCAACATGTCTGATTGTGTGCACACACAGAGGAATCTAATCTTCAGGCTCCTTGTCAGCACCCTCGGGGTTAGCAGCATCAGCAGGACACTCAGAGTCATCCTCTCCCTCCATGTCCTTGAGCTTCAATTTGGCCCTCTTCTCCTTGGGATTCTCCGAGTCAAACTGATCACCTGCACGTTTGGCAGCAGCACGACCAAGTTCGGAAGCCGCCTCCTTCTCAAGACCCGCCTTCATTTGCCGATCTCTCTCGTTGTGGTAGGCTTTGGAGACCACTCGTTTCCGGATGGCTGTTCTGTCCATCTTCATCTTCTTCTTCTCTACACCATCATGCTCATCCTCGGGGAACTCCTCGGCCTTCACCGCAGACTCAGGCTCAGGCTTCACCTTAGTGTTGTGCAACTCGGGCTTCTCCTTCTTAGTCTTCTTCTCACCTTTGGCCTTCGCGGTCGCCTTGGATTTCGGTGTCGACTTTGGGCTCGCCTTCGATTTCGGGGTCGACTTCGGGGTAGCCTTGGCTTTCGGGTCCGACTGCTTAGACTTTGGGCTCTCCTTGCTCTTAGGGATCTCTGGGCTCTTCTTGGAGTGCCTGATTGCGGGAATCGTATCCTTCTCTTCGGAGATCTCGGTGGCTTCGCCGTCCGGGGACTCGATGGGCTTCTTGACCTTGCTTGGCGCTGAAGACCTGGACTTAGTAGGGATCGCATTCTCAGTCTTCTGATTCGCCTCGCTCTTCTTGTTCGCCTCTCCGTTCTGCTTGCCTTTCCCTTTCCCTTTCCCCTTCTTCTCAGGGCAGTTTTTGCGGAATATGATCAACTGGGCTTTGTTGTCCAAGGGCTCCACAGATTCGGCTTGGCTCAACAAAAAGCTGAAGTGCACGTCCATGGGGCTGCTGCTTGTGCTTGTTGTAGCAGCAGGTGGGGCCCGACTGCTGCTACTAGGTCCAGGAAGATCTTCGCTCTCTGCCTCTTCTGAACTTACTCTGCTCAGAACTCTGTCAAAGACTGCCATGGGGTCGAGCCGACGGAGGCTGGGCTTTGGTCTAGGGTCGTCTTCCAAGGCCAGGGGCCTTGCAACCGCAGGCCTTGCATCTTCAGGCCTTGCATCTGCAGGCCTTGCATCTGCAGGCCTTGCATCAGCGGCACCATCTGTCAAAGCAAGCATTCCCGGAGGAGGCTCGCTGACAGACTCCTGAGATCCGTCCTCTAGGACGGGACCACAATTCATGATGTCGAGGACATCCTGCACAGCCGTTTGCTCAGCCGCTGTCATCATAGCAAAGCACCGCTGCTTGGTCTTGGCTTCCACCTTGAGGCACCTGAACATGGCACACCCGATCCTGATGCCTTCATCAGTCAAATCGATGAAGTCGTTGTCCGATTTCCGAGTGTGATTAATTTTCTCCTCCTGCTCGTTCATTTTGGCCAAGGCTGTTCTGACCTTCTTCGGGCTGAGCATACCGTTCGGAGCGAGGAGCATGAGCTCTTTGTAGAGGTCGGCAGCACCCGCCATCCAGGAGCCTATCGGGGCCTTTTTGAAGGTGAGCCCGCGAGGCAAGTTCAAGGCCTTGAAGAAATCCGTAGTCTTTCGGGATTTCAGCCACTTGCTGAGCACACCTGTGATATCTTCCACACCGATCGTGGGATCGGCGACCAACCGTCCCGTCTGTCCGGTGAGAGCCATGCTGCGGCAGCAGGGCAGCTGTACAAAAAAGCTTGTGAAACCGAAAGCGGGGTCGCTATACTTACTACCGAGCACAGAAAGCCCGAGTCCTGCCGGCAACATGTGAAACACAGGATTCAGACCTCTCAAGGTCGTTTACAGATTGTGTCCCCGCAGACACAACTGCTCCTAGCCCTCGAGGTAAACACTCTCTGTGCAACACTGAACTTTCAAAGTAAAAACTCTCTGCACAACACACTAAACTCTCAAGGTGTAAGATATATGTGCTGTCAAAGTCTCACACCTCTCTCAAGGTCATCTACATATTCCCTCCAACTGCTCAGACACGTGCAAATTCAATCTCTCAAGGTAAATACCCTTTGTCAACAGCAAAAACTCTCATGGTGTAATATATCCTCTCACAAGGTCTGACACACCTCTCACAAGGTCACATCTACATATATTCCCTCCACAACTGCTCCTAAACATGCAAAAGTCTCACATACCCTTGTTGTACAACACTAAACTCTCAAGGTGGGGTATACTCTCAAAATTATAACACACCTCTCAAGGTCATCTACATATTCCCTCCAACTGCTCCTAAACATGCAATGCTCGAGGGTATATATACCCTCTGTTCAACACTAAACACCCTCATGGTCAGTATATTGCATATGGCTCTCTTATATAAGGTTTCTCTCTACTCTATGAAATATATAACTGTCGGGGCCCGTTGTGTTTGCTGAAGCTGTTTACATATGTTCTCAACCTGCTCTATACTCTCTAAAAAGTGTTCAAGCTGCATTACTTTTTAAAACCTACATATATTCCTAGTGCCGAAAATCTCACTCATAGACTTATATATTCTGCATGCGACCACACCTGGTTCCATACCACATGCTTTTGTCCCGCATCATAGACCCGCACACACACACACAGACACACACACACACACACACGGTGTCAATTGTTGGTTTCGTTCACACCCAACTCTCAAGGTATATGCTGGTGTGTGCCAAATATAGAGCCAGCATGTATAGCAAAGGCATCTCAGGACCCAAAAACCGGGTCGGTCGTCTCGGAAAACAAAACTTCGCTATCCCCCAACAAAATTCACCACATGCTGGAAAATCAAAAGCTTCGCGAATATAATATATATATATATATATATATATAGAGAGAGAGAGAGAGAGAGAGAGAGAGAGAGAGAGAGAGAGAGAGAGAGACAGACAGACAGACAGACAGACAGACCAAAAAACAAAGAGACAGAGAGGCAGAAAGACCGACAG